ATCCACTGGGGCGTGTTCTCGGTGCCCAGCTTCGGCAGCGAGTGGTTCTGGTGAGCTGCGGCGAGCGGTGTCCGGTCGCACCGAACAGCTGCCGCGGACGGGTCGTACCAGCGGTCCGAGGGGTTTGCTTGGAAAGCAGCTCCTAGGGCAGGCGGGGATGGGTGTGTCCACCCCGGTACAGCGGAGGTTTGGGTTAGAGCCCCTCTGCAGGCTGACCCTGGAGCTCAGGTGTGTGGGAAGAGGTTTGTGTCCGGCCAAGGCCAAGGACTCCATGGTGCCTTTTCGAAGGAAGCACAGTTTGATGTGTTTCTGGTGTGTCTGACCATCTACCTGCTCAGACCTGAAACTTGAACACCTTGACCGACGAAACCAAATTAAGGAGAGATCTCACAGAGCTGAGAGATGTGATTTGCTGTTGGTGAAAGAGGTGGTTGGTTAAGTGGCAGGAGATCTCTCCAGGACCACCTGGAAGGGATGGATGAAGGGGTTCTACCCTGTGGGAACAGGCGTTGAGGATCTCCCATCCCCTGGAACAGCCTGGTACAGCTGCTGGAGCACTGCAGGGAGTGCAGGAGCCCATTGCTGCCCTTACTTAGCAAGGAGCCTGCCGTTTTCTTGTGCACATTTTGTGCTGTTGATGGTTTTCTTCTCCTTTATTATTACTGTTATTCAGGACTGCTTTCCACTTAAAAGAGTCCAAGGCTCTGATCCTTTAAGTAATTTTAGTTCAGAGGCTCAGTAAAACCGTTGTTTTGTGAGTGTTCACTGGTTCAGGTCCTTTGACTGTAAGCATATTTCTGCTCTCATCTTTCCATGCTCTACCAAGTACTTCCTGTGTGACTTCAAGTGAGTCACATTATCATTTAAAATATGAAGATAGCAGCTCTGTGGCAGAGCTGTGGTGAACCTTAAATGCAATATTCACAAAACAAACCAATATAGATCTAAACAAACAACTGTTTTCTAACAATATTTGGTTTGTTCAGAGTTACATTCAAGGATTTCAGCAGTTTTTTAAGGTAGACTCCGTTTACTAATAAATTACTTTTGGCGAGGGGGTGATAGAGCCAGGTTTGGGTTCAAGCCTCAGTCTGAGTGCAGTGATCTGATAGTGGTGCACAGATTCAGGTTCAAGCATTTGGTCTTCATTGTTGTTCTAAAAAGAGCTCAAAACTCTCTAATGTAGTTGATGAAGTTGCTTTTTATATTCCCGGAGTCTCCGATCCTTAGGCATGTGTGGGTGTAGAGCTGCTTCAGGCCTTCTAGCAGCATGTGCAGTCAGACGACTGAGGTCCTTTGTTAGCAGCTGCATGGCCTTGGTAAGGATGTTTCTAGAATCTAATCATGTCAGCATCGAAGTGCTCATGTTAGCAAACCACATGACAAAGGAAGAGAAGCAAGGATGTTACTGTTTATTTATGCAATTACATAGTTTGAAATCAGAGGTTGGTTGGTTTTTTTGGGGGGGGTGTTCATTTGTTTTTGTTTGGTTATTTTCCCTTTTCCTCGTATTCCTTCCCCTCTTCCCCTCCCTTTACCCCTCCATTCTTTCAGTGAGAAAAGCTGTCTTGGCCTCTTTCTTCTGAGTTTTTTTTTCCCTGTTGGCTGTCAGAGGTTGTGTCAGTTTATGATGAAGTCTGGGAAGGTTACAACAATATCTAGACGGTTACTATGTCTTAAAGAACTGAGGTCAGAGTCCAGCTCGTGATAGGAGAGAGAAACATACTTCAAACATTTAGATTCTGGCCTGTTTTATTCCTTCACTTACTATCTGTTTTCATGTATGTTCTTGCTAGAACAGGATCTTTGCTGCTTGGCTTCATTCACAGAAAGGTGAATGGTTCCAGGCCCTTTTCTCTGTATGTATTAGCAGTCACATGGTATGTTGTTGTTAGAAGGCAGTAAGGCTGTTTATGCAGTAAGGACTGTTGTGTGGTGTTTCTGAAGCTCCTCTTTCATTGCTCAGTAGGGAAGGGAGCAAGTTGAAAATAAATATTGCTCTATTGGTGATTTATGGTCTCTGCTCATGATGAGGGCAAGAGACCAACCTTGAACACAGAGCAGAGCTCCAAACCCTGCTGTGGACTAGCCCTGTTGGAATAGAGACAATACCAGTCACTGTCTTGGGGAAGCACAGGATAGAAACTGTCCCTGTTTTTGCCAGATGGAAGGCAAAAAGAGATCATCAGCTTATTTTTCCTTCTAGTTGCTAAATCCAAGTGCCCTGGTAGGTAGACGTGTGCCTGCATGTTAGAGACTGTGACAGAGGTGCATTTTTAAGTGTGTGTCAGGTTTTTGTTGCAGGACATGGCTTCTAGTAGGGTGCCTTTGGTTCAGAGCCTCACCTGTGCAGTGGCTGTAGCACACTGGTCACAGCTCTCTCCTGCCCTGGGACTGTGGGCATCTGGTCAACCAACTGCATTTGGTTTAGAGGACTTGGGACTGTCAGAAAGGTAAAGCTGCTGGTCCACATGTTTGTAGGTGGGAGGAATTGCAATGTGGGTGGCAGAGCAGAGGTGCCTGATGGCTGAGGTGTGAGACCTGAGGAGGATGAGTAATATTTTTTCAGAAAAAGGGCATTTCTCATGCCACATGGGCTGCTTACACAGTCTGTCTGTGCATGCTCTCTAGTATGGTTTTGGGATTTGGGTACTGAGCAAGACTGTCATTTTTCCATTCTCAAAGTGTAGCTGCTTTTTTCATTGCTTCAAATGAAATCCTGGGACCTCTTCAAAGTGGAGTGCTTTGAAGATGTAGAGCATGAACAAATAGGATAGAGAAAAGCAAATCTTTGGTAATTAATACTGTTCTGGAGCAATTTTGTCCTATTGCTAGTGTCGTGTACTTCCAATGCCTCTGCCTCTCAGTGTTAACTCAAATAGGAGCTGATGATTTTAACTCTCTTTTCTTTGTCTAAAAATACATTAGCAGACATGTTTTGTTCTGTATTTTGTAGGTGGTACTGGCAGAAGGAAAAGAGAGAGCCCTATGTGAAATTTATGGAGGCCAATTACCCACCTGGCTTCCGTTATGAAGATTTTGGGCCACTGTTTACAGCAGAATTCTTTGATCCTAACCAGTGGGCAGATATTCTGAAGGCTTCAGGTGCAAAATATGTTGTCTTAACTTCAAAACATCATGAAGGTAAGTGGAAGCTTTGTGAATGTTAGTAATTGTTGCATTTCTGTCAACAGAAGAAAAAAGCAGGTGACTTTCCTGCTTGCTAAGATAGATAGAGAAAGTCAGGCAGGCTTACCTGTCCTACTGCAGCCAAAGAGGAAAAAAACTACCCAAGAAATGTGCAGTCGTTTTCCGGACTCTTACACGGAAGCTGAGGTCATGGAGCTTGCATAGGAGGAACAATAAATTGTGCCACTGTTTTCTTGCTGTAGGTAAGACAGCCTGAAGTGGTGGTGGCAGCTGAGCTTCCTGCAGTAGCCATAGTGCAATTTATTGCTGAAAGAACCATAAAAGTGAGTTCTGCACTCTTTAACATATGGAGAGCTGCTGTATGCAGGCACTTAACAAGCTCTGTAGGTTTCTGTAAGGAATTTAGGGGTATGTTCTGGGAGTCAACTTCAGAGTTAGGAAGGTTCACAAGGTATAGCTTTTCCTGATGTAGCTCATAGAAGCCAAAACCTTGAACTGGGTCTGTAACTTTACAGGGACAATTGATTTTTAGCACTGTAGTTGTAAGATGCTTTGCACAGAAAAATAAAGAAAAAGAAAGTGGCTGGAAGGAAATCTGCTATCAAATAAAATATAATAGGATGCAATATGACAGGTACAGCTAATGAATGTTTTTGGTCTTTGGGGAGATGTGGGTTCAAGACTGGCAACTCGTGACTTGTAAATTTTTATCTCAGCTCTAATACACATAAATTTTGATTTTGATGATGCCTGTGGTGAAATTCCCAAGAATTTTCAAAAGAATAGTGATTCATTTAGTCTGTCCTGTAGCCTTGGGCATGAATATTTAGCTTGTTTGTCTAGTCGATACAATTGTGTATATTCAGTTCACAAAAATGTCACAAGATTTATTAGGCAGTGAGTCTAAAGCAGTTTGAAGATGCTTTGTCTGGCAGTGGTCTGAGTCTGCAGTGCAGTAGTATTTTAAGTGCTTGTGCTAGGATTGCTGGATGTCTGAAATGTCAAATCCCTCCTGACTCCTGATATTTAATGTTGATATTTTAAAATCTGTTTCAGGAGTTTTTGCACTCTGCTTATATACATGTATTGAGCAGTTGATTGAGCTGCTATAAATACCAAGACAAATGAAAAGTGAACATTTGCATAAGAGGGAAACAGAAGAGAGAAGAGTCTTTGAATGCAAATGATAGCTTGTGCTTGCTGCAGCTGAGAGTTTTATCTTCCAGTAGTTGTGTATTTACAGTTCACATTGATACTTTCTTCAAAAACGTATATGCCTCCAGAGCTGCTGTATTTTTTGTTAATTTCATAGAATTATAGAATAGTTTGTGTTGGAAGGGGCCTTAAAGATCATCTAGTTTATTTAATTGGGACATATGAATGAAGTGAATAACTAAAGAGGGAATAAATATCCTAAGCAGTACAGAACTGCTTAGGATATGTGTATGTATAGAAAAATACATAAACATATCTGGCATGGTATTCTGATGTTATGACTATTATAATCTGTTTATGCACAATGATAGGCACAGTTTATACCACAATAACAATATTATTACAGATATAATTTTTATTATTTTTTGCAACACACTTCCAAACCACTTTCCAGAAAGAGGAACTGTAACTTCCCCTCTTCTTCTTCTCTTTCTTATCCTTCAATTTTTCTCTTTTCAGGCTTTACTTTGTGGGGGTCCAAATATTCTTGGAACTGGAATGCTGTTGATGTGGGACCGAAGCGGGATCTTGTTGCTGAACTAGCAGCATCTGTTAGAAACAGGACTGACTTGCATTTTGGGTTATACCATTCCCTGTTTGAATGGTTTAATCCTCTCTTCCTTGAGGATGCCACTAATGTCTTTAAGACAAGAAAGTTTCCAACCAGTAAATCATTACCAGAACTCTATGAAATTGTGACCAAGTACCAGCCAGAAATAATTTGGTCTGATGGGAATGGAAATGCTCCAGATACTTACTGGAACAGCACTGGTTTCTTGGCTTGGCTGTATAATGACAGGTACATAATGATACTGCCTTAGCACCCTATCTAAAATTCTGCTCTCTGTCTAGTTTGTTTCACTTTATTTTATGGAACCTGTTACCTCTACTTTAGAGGACTTAACAAAATATTCATTTTCCTGAAATACAGAATTCAGATCTTCCCTAGAATTATCAAAGCTTGCTTTAGAAAAAGACTGTTACATATTTTTGAAACACATTTGCAAATTAAGGTGGTATTGGCTACTCTGCCTAATCACAGCCTTTCCTAAATATTTTTTGCTGCACAGAAACAGAATAGAAGGACAATTTGAGAATATGAGTACATTGTTTTCTTTGTAGACTGAACATTTGGCAGTGGATGTGAAATGCAGGTTGTTTTCTGGCAGAGCTCCTACAAAAGTCTGGAGCATATTTCTTAAGAAATGCCGATCTGGACCTTTTACTAGGAAAGGATGGGAATAGAATTCCTGACATTGCACTTAATCTGTAAATGAGTAGTACACAAGTCATCCAAAATGTTAGTGTCTGGGAGGGGTGTGTGTGGGAAGGGCTGGCCGTGACTGCATTTTACAGAACAAAAATAATAAAATTTCTCTGTTTCCAGCCCAGTCCGAGACACAGTTGTAACCAATGACCGCTGGGGAGTTGGCAGCATCTGCACCCACGGCGGGTACTACACCTGCAGTGACCGGTACAACCCCGGGCACCTCCTGCCTCACAAGTGGGAGAACTGTATGACCATCGACAGGAGGTCCTGGGGGTACCGCAGGGAGGCGCAGCTCAGTGACTACCTCACCATCGAGGACTTGGTGAAGGTACAGTGGGGCAGAGGAGTTGCCTGCAACTTCCCATTCTCTCTCCTAGTTTTTATATTAAGCAGTGTGACATTTCTATCGTGTACTTGTCTCTATCTAAAAAGTATTAATTGAATAATGAATCGATGAAATAATAAACCATTTTGTTCATTTGCAGCCTAACACTGACAGGATGGAATGTCCTTGTAATTCTTACTAATTTTATAGAAATTACTAAGGGAAAGGTTTTTCTAGTAGAAATTCAGTGAGTTTCTTAGAAGCCATTTCCCCTATGAGTAACTGGCTGAGGATTGATCTGGACAGTCTCATAATTACCTTTTCCACTAAGATTTTCTGGTAACTGCACCTTTAAGTTGAAGAGAAGCAAACAGGTGCAGTTTCACAGCTCCTGGTTAGGAACTCCTGATTGAAGGCTACATCTTTTCCCCTTTACAGATAGTTTATGACTCCATAGGCATTTTACCTTGTAGCAAGAAACTTTCTGTACAGACATACAGGTAAACATTAGCAGATGCAGACAGCTGGTCATAGTAGAATATTGATTCCCTTTGCTAGTCTAAGGTATTAAAAAAGATGTGAAGCTTAGGAAAACTGAATGAAAGAAAGATGATCAGCCTTTCAGGAAAATGCATTTAATTGCAAAATTCAGCTAGCGAGGGGGAGATTGATTGTTATTGTTGCTTAATCTAAGTCTGTTTCTAGTACTGTCCTTGCAAAAGACAATTACAAACTGAAGTAACCTCTTTTCAGAAGCAAAAGGTTTGAATTCATTCAGCAGCTTGTCTCCAGCTGTGTTTCTCTGACTTGTGCATCTCAGTCCATGATCTCTGGAGGGCAGTGTGGATGTGAACACAAATTTTACAGACTCTGTAGAAGGCTTCCTGGTGTTTTACAGATGTGTCTTTAAAATAGGAAGAGCATCAAACAGAGGAAGAACAGAAGAAGTTGCTTCTCTAAGCTTCAGTAAAGATGAAGTGGCAATTGTTAGCCTTACTCTACTTTGGTGCAAAGAAATCATCTGTCTGTTCTATCAGTAAAACCCTCATGACATTCTTGCAGCAGTCAAAATGTTAAAAATGTGTAGGATCTGATTCTAATGTAGATTCAGTGAGATATATTAGTGCAAGAACATATTTTGGGCTTTTTTCTGATGTAAATAAAGCTTGTCATCAGAGCTTTGTTTTACTGGAGCTTAAATTTTATTTTGACTGTTGGGATGACCCCCGTAAGTCTCAACGTTGCAGCAGTAACATAACTCATTTGGTTCGTAGTTCTGAAGCAGCATGGCAGACTTTAGAAAGTACTTCAGATGTGTGATTTCATTAGTCGTAACCATATGCTCTGTGTGTTGAAAAACATTTCAGCAACTTGTAGAAACGGTGTCTTGTGGTGGAAATCTCTTGATGAATATCGGGCCCACTCACGATGGTCGCATCGCTGTTATATTCGAGGAGCGCCTGAGGCAGATGGGTGCTTGGCTGGAGGTCAATGGAGAGGCCATCTATGGAACAAAACCATGGAGAGCACAGAACGACTCGGTCACGCCAGAAGTGTGGTAAGGTTACTGAATCAAAATGTAAAGCAGCACCAGTATATGTGAAACTTTGAAATTCTTAATGACTTGATGCTACAGAAGTCACCATCTTAGTTTGTATGTGGTGAAGAAATTAATCCCTTTGTCAGTTTAAGTAACTGCACACAGAAGTATGTATAAAGCTGTAGGTAGAGACTGTAGTTTGGGGATGATGCTGAGGCTGAAGGGAAGACTGCAAACATATTTCCTTAGTGATCTTGTGCTTCTTAGTGTAGTTGGCAACAGAAACAAAGAATATACAAATCTGGAAATATAAAATTGCTATGAAGTCTCTATCTGTAGAAAGGAATACTTGATGTCACTTGATGCTTAAAGAGAAAAAAGGGAGAGGAAGAAACTAGAAACAAGTCTAGCATATTCTGCATTTTTTTAAGGTAAAAATGCATGGGAAAATAACAGCAATTGTTTGGTCCCTAAATACAGCTGGTCTCTGGACTCCTCAGCCTTTGTGACTTGTAGCTGCTGTAACGCCTTAATGATCCATCAGGGTTTTGGTCTTGTCCCTCTTCTCTGTCTCAGTGGGCCTTTTTACTCCTGTTCCCAGTAAAATTTGGCCATCTGGCTCTAGCTGGGAGATGCTGAACTGCTGACTGTTTAGTAAAATGACTTTCAAGAGCAATAAAAAGTTGCAACTAAATGAAGGAAGGAGGGGGGTATGTTTCGGGGATATGCCACAAGATTTCCAATGGCAATAGTGCAGATAGTATATGCTGAAAATAATATTTTCAAAAACTAGCTATACAAGGTGGAAGCTCTATTGTTGCACATACTTGTTAATTTTTTTTAGTCTGTATATTGGTGTATAGATGTGAATTAGCACATTTTTCTGAATATAACCTACAATTCTCTGTTAAGGATTCCCCTTCTGCAAGTATCTCCTTCCTATATGGCTGAGCAGCAGAGAGTTACATGTGTACTAAAGTAACTACAGATGTTTACCTCTGAATTCAGTTAATAGTTTTCATTACCTCTAGTTTGTTGGAACACATTTTCAAGGAGCAGTACTTTATTAAAGGGTATAAATCATCTGAAATATGGTTATGTGTGTGAAAATGTAACTAATGCTGACTTTTCAAATCTGTTTTTCTAATCTTGAAACACTCTTATGTAGCACTTCAGAAAATTTACACAGAAAAACTGACATGCATTTCTGTTCCCCATTTCCAACCAGGTACACTTTCAGCCCTAAAGAAGGGACAGTCAGTGCTGTCTTCCTTAACTGGCCAGTCTCTGGGATTCTGGAACTTGGTGAGCCACAGGCTAAGCTTGGAGAAACACAGGTAAAAGACAGCACACAAACATACATGTGCTCTTCTCTCTAGGATTTGTCATGTTCCATCATGTTTATTTAAGTTTCTGGCATCTTTAGGAATGCATAGCTCTTAGGACAGAGTACATTGGAAGAGATCCAGCAAAATATTTGTTTTAGTTCTCAGACCTCCTTGTTGTAGTGTTCCAGTGGGATGTTTCTTCTCCAACTAACCAAGTTAGACTGAGATGTTGCCAGGATATGTTTTAGCTTGCAAACTAAGAATCATGAAGAGGCCAAGCAGCAGGGAAAAAACAGTGTTGCTTCTCCTGTTTCCTGTGTAGACTCTAACTTGGCATGACTTTGCTTTATAAGTAGCTGTCCTCACTTTGGTGACTTTGGTGATATTGGAGTTGCTGTAATGGTGCAGTTGTTTCAAGTTAAAGCCTTGCACAGAGGGAATGCACACAGAGGTTTTTGTTGGCCAGGGAGGCTAAAAATAAGTGATCCTAGATGTTCATCTTACACCAAGTGGAGGTCAGAAATTGAGGACACTGATGCCACACCTACTCTAGAAAGAAGTGTGGCCCAATGGAAGCAGAAGTTGGTATCAACTCTATGCATTTAAGAGAGAGATTCACTTTGGCTTAGCTCTGTTCTGGTCTCATGCACTTTATGTCCATTAGCTGCTGAAATGCATTAGAGCTGCTTCTGGTCTAGTTCCATATGAAAATAGTCTAATAGGTGCCAAGATAGCTCTGTGATAAGGAAGAAAGAGTAATTTCAAAAGTAATGGAGATGCATCTTGACTTTTGGAGATGCAGCTAGACTCCATGTGCACAAGAGAGTACTGTTCCTCAGTGGCAGAGACTGGTCTTCAGCTGCTCCAGCATGCCACCAGCTGCCTAAGAAGGAGTGTCACCATAAACCTATTTGTGTGTTTTTAGTGGGAGGGGGTTATTCAGGTCAGCTTTTTTGAGGTACCTGGCTGCACTCTGTAAGAAACAGTGATACTCATTCAAGACTACAAGTTCCACCATGGGAAGTAGGCATTTCAGAAATAGGTGATATAAAGCTCTGTACTGTAGCACCTAGATCCCTGCTTAGACCTAAATCCCATCCCAAATACTTCTGAAAGGTGCTTGTTTACATTCTACAGCCCTAAGTACTTCTCAAGACCCAACATGACTAGCTTTATTACTTGTACTTCCATTTCTACATTGCAAGTATTTTTCCATTACCTTTAATAATTATCACTCATTTGGTTGGTTAGTGGCATTTAAGGATAATTGGTTAGAAAGGTAGCTATAGATCAATATTTATTTTGTCAATATTGCAATTATATGCACTTTGAAAAGGCATTGTTCTAATTATAGTCTATGTTTCTATCTTAGGTGAAGCTGGCTGGCTACAAGGAACTGCTGAAATGGGTTGCACTGGGAGAAAAGGGACTGATTATAGCTCTACCTCAATTAACTCCTAAGCAATTGCCATGCCAGTGGGGCTGGACTTTACAACTGACTGCCATAAAATGAGCCATACTCTGCTGGAGCCCTGGCTAGCAGGGAATGCTGACGTTTTGCTGTTTCTCATCACTGTTTTTGAACTTACTTGCCTGTAAAAACACCAATAAATTCACTTTTTTTACGAAAGGTAGGCTGTTATAAAGGAATGGAACAAACTTCACATGAGATAGTTGATCCTCTGCATATATTTTTGCTTCTCTGAACTTGTATGAAAAACTGAGCAGCTACCTTGACCTCTCTACTCGTTTTAGTCCATTTCTGGCCCAGTTATGTGAAGAATGGGGAGGGGGGTAAGGGGGTGGTGTAGGGAGAAACAGGCAAAGCTCAAAAAACAAAAGCTCAAGCCACTGTTCAGGTGCACGTAAGTCAGTTGTACACCCTCTTTAATGCAAGAACTCCAACTTCCACAAAACTGCACAGTAAAAGCTGAGTTTTGGTGAAAAGAATAAACTTTTTCCAGGTGTGTACAACAACTGGTAGCTAGCAGTTTCAACTGAGTAGGGTAACATCGAGAAGAACAGGCCTGTAATGGTTAGGAATTCCTCACAAATGCATGGAGGTAATGCATATGTACATCATCATTTCTCATCATGGAAGTCATTCATTTCACATGTTCCTACTCTTGAGTAATTCTATCCATTATTGGGACATGGGTAAACTGGGAAGGGTTTTTTTTCTGTTTTGTATAATTTTACATGGGTAAAGCTTGACTTTTGTTTACAGCCATTGTTTTTACAAAGTTACCAGGGTGCCTTCTGCAGACTATTAAACAAAGCATATACTTCAATAACTTAACTCTTCAAAAAAGAGAAATAATCAGGAGTTGCTAGGGATCTTCAACTTTGGCAAGGACAACATTTTAAGCAGAGGATAGACTGCATCCAACTTGAAAAATTTCCAAATTCATCATGTGTCACCATTTCTAGGGATAGACACACAATGTGAAGTTTGCAAAGAGGAGGAGATAAAGCACAACAAAAGGTATTAGTTGTTTCTGCTTCAGTGTAGAGATTTAACGTTTATTTTTCCTGACTAATGTTGCTGAGTGCAAAATTATTACTATGTAAGTTAAATTTATTCTTTCAACTATGTCAGAATTTTGAGTGGTGTGCCAAATTTGGTTATTCCCTTTCCTGCTAGTAATGTTTAAACACGCACAAATTTTACATTAAAATATTTTATTACAATACAGACAATTGGGCTCAAAATTAATACAAATTAAGATAAAATATTTACAAGGTAATGTGTACAGTGTAGCTGTTTGAACAGCATAAACAAGAGAACATCTAAAAACCCACATTCCTTTAGTATTAAGTAACAGAGAGCATGCCCCCAGCTCATTCAAGAGGAACGTGCATCTGTTGGCAAAGGCCTTCTGAAGAACAAGAGACTTTGGAATAATGTTTGTAAAGTTAAGTGAAATAAATTTCCTTTATAAAAAGAAAAATTTGAGGGGAGAAGAAGCAAAAAGCATTACTTCATTCTCCTAGTCTGTGCTATTCTTAGATCACTATCATTAGTTCTTTTCAAAACTTACACACTCCAGGGCAAACAAATGGGTTTTTTAGTAACCTGCTGTAATACTGCCACCAGAAGCATTTTAGATGCAATAAAAATAATCAAATTAAATACAGAGGAATTTAACGACTTTTTTAATAGAAAAGTCTTTACATACAATGATTCTTTCAACAAGAATACTTTTAATGGGTGCTTGAAACATAATTCTATTAGAAAAAATATGGGCTCACTCCCACTTTCCTCAGAGTGTTCTTTCTGCTGGTCTGCCACTCCTACACCATTAAAAAGTTAACCCAAGTCTCACCAGTAGTTGCAAGGGATTTGTTATAAATACACCATCTATTCCTAGAAGTGTGCGAGTCATTTCTCCAGTTGCTGAGGGGTACTAAAAGCTTCATAAACATTAGCAGCAAAATCTTTCATTTGTTCCATCATCAACAGGTCCTGGAAGAAATGTAAAAAATAAATTTGCTTAATTGAACACATCCAACACCATTCTGGTTTTGCTGCAGTACAGAATTCATCATGAGAAAAACACCTGGTGCCTCCACAGACACATTACTCAAATTTCGTGCTTTAGAAAGGTTTGTGGGCAGAACTGGAAGTTGAACCAAGTTAAAAGACCTGTCTGTGCATCTGCACAGTTCAACAGAAGGAAGAGGTTCTAGAAAAACAGCATATTTCTGGAAGATATAAGCCAGTGAAAGTAAAAAGAATGAATTTATTAAAAAGAAATATACAACATTAATTTCGAAATTTTACTTGGAATATTGTAAATAAGGAAGATTCTTACCTGAACAAAGTGACTGGGCGTTTCACTGCATACTGAATGGATCTGCCCATTTATTATTGGAATTATCTTGGCTAAAGGAAGACTGACACTGGAAAGACTAGAAAAAAACAAAAAATATTGACCTAGAACTGCTCTGACATTGGTAAAACCACTAAACTGTGATTATTAGAATTCTAAGTAATTACTACTTAAAAAGTAAGAATTGCAAGACTGCAAACTAAAACGTACAGATGAAGGGGGTTTTTTTCCCTGTCAAGCCTTTCATTTAATATAGAGGAGTACCAAAGCTAATTTCAGTTGGTCTTCCCATTACACAACGTTTCATCCTTCCTTCTCATGCAAGCAAATCATGGTTTAGCCTGAACCTTTACATGTGTGCATATGTAGACAGGTGATAGAAGTGCCAGTCTGCAGTCTCACACTATTTCAAACTAAACCAGGCTTAAGACAGACAACGAAACTACACTCTTTGGGGTATTTTAAGTGATGTAAATAGTATATATTTAAATAAAAATAAGACCCTCTGGAAGCCATCAGTTACTAAAATAAACATACATAAAACATTCAAGGTTTTAATACTTGAGAAACAATATTTCAAGGATTTGAACTCAGCTTTTGAATTTGTAACAGTCTCACCTCACTGTTTAAAACCAAAGCTAACTTCGAAATAAAAGCTATTTTTAAGCTGTCTTCTAGGAATATGTAGAAAATCCCGAGTGTTGCTATATTTTATCAGCATACCAGGAAAGAACCTAGGGCTCTGTGGATGCTTTGGCTCCCTGTATTTGGAGGATCACAGCAATGCCCACCCAGCTTCCTTGAAAACCAGAGTGACAGAGACTGGGGCGCACAGGGCTCGCGAGCTGCAGGGGAAGGCTCTTCCTCGTGGCCTCACAGGGAGGCAGGTACTGCAGCACATCTGCCAGTAATCACCACCAGTCTGCCAGTACAGTGTTCAGGCAAACAGTGGAAGGCATAGGTCATCTGATTTCTACTTCTAGATCTGCAAGTAATGGTGGGAAAGATACCTCACCTATACTCTTGCATGTTTCTTTCCACCCATGAAATCCTCCTAGCTGTCTACCTGAACAAAACAAGGAGAATGCAGTGATTCTTGGAGAGCAAGAAGCAGAATAATACTTCCAGCATGAGAACTTCAAGAAGGCAGGAAAATCAATAGGCTTTCTGGAATTCACTATGAACGCAAAACACTAGTGCCATGAGAACCACAACAGAAGGAAATATTTACCTATTTACAGAGCCATTCTGAGAGAGGTCCTTTTCAGTAGGTCTAAAAAACTCTGCCATATTGTCCAGCAGTCGACTGAATCCTCTGTTTAAACATGTGCTCAAAACCGTACTGAAGTCCGGACTGCAAATAAATAATAATAATGATGATGATGATAATAATAATAACAATAATAATAATAATTAACCCAGGATTGACTCCTGGGTTTTATGTTTTGCAACTAAAAAACCTTGCAAGTATTCAGTGCCTCAGATGTGCCTCCCCTAAGGGGGCATGTCCAACCCAGATAAATGCCATTAGTATTGCCACCTCACCAAAGACCAGCTCCTTCAACAACCCAGACTCCACCCTAAAACGGAGTTAAGTCTAAAGCATTTCTCACTTCTATTTCTTACTAAGTAATAACATAGAAGGGACTTACCCTTAAAATGCCCCAGATCCCTAGCAGCTAAATGGAAAGAATAGTTCAGCATTTGTCTCAATTCCCTCATATCCTGTGTTTATTCTAGAAGCCTCACTTTGATAGCTTTCTCTGGTAAAAGTACACATACAACCACTCTCAAAACCATGCACTAAAAATAAATTCCAGTAAGCCAATACTGGTGTTCACTTTATCAAATCAAGTAAATCCAAATAAAATTACTCTCAATTTATCCTGCTTTGGCAGAAAAGAAGTACTCTTCTGTTCCTGCACAACTACAGAACAGGTGAGGAACAGATAAGAGATCTGACTGGGAAGGACATCCTGGTTTATCTCATTAAGGCAGGATTATTTCTTACAAATAAGTTTCAGAGTTCCCAGATTTTTGAAAATCCCAGCCTACAATTAGTGACCATAAAAATTTAATGCAGAACGCTCACATTTCACAAATGAAAAGTTGACAGCTTTTTATATGAAAGTAATTGTCTTACATAAACAATAGTTGTGAGGAGTTTAATGTGAATACAAGTTATTTCTCTATACCTTTCTAGCATATCTCTAGTTTCATTCAGTAATTTAATTGTAGCAATATCTCTTTCTGTGAGTCCACAAGCCTAGAAAAAGCAAAGACGGACACTGTTTAGTAAGTTTAATCAGCAACCATGAGGATAAGAGCAGAAATAAAAAAGTTGTGTATCACAGAATAAAGTCAAGATGTACAAGTCAAATCTAAAAGAAAATATTGTCATAAATCGGATTCTTTATAATTTGTGTTTTAAATTGTCACTGTAGGATTTTTTTTTTTAACTAAAAACAATACTAGCAGAAAGTACCAGATTAATTGGGCAAGGCATTTTTCCACTTTTGACCTTCAAAATTGAAATAAACCCAGCATATCAGCTTAAGCTAAAGTGGTAAGTACAGCAGTCACACGCTGAAGCCCGTGTCTCATCTTTACATGAGTGTAAAACCAAGTGAAGAGTGAGTTTTCTCCAACCTGTGGTGAGGGTGGAGACAAACACCTTCACAAAATTTAGGAAATTAGTATTACAGCTGCGATTAGATACACCCTTCTCTTGGCTTCCTGTTCATTTTCCAGCCCAAAGCAACAAAGGACCGCAGCACAGCATCAACCTGTGCATCAG